TCCGTGTCCTCATCACAGTTTTAAGGGAAACCTCCGAGAACCATTAGCATCTCTTCCCCGGATGCCCGCTTCTGTTTGTATTATTCATGCTCTCTTGGTCACTTCCTTTCTGACAGGACTGGTTTCGAAGCCACAAGTTCATTTCTTTAAGGTTAATTTAGTGGAAACAAACCATAAATCCATTTAGCCTGGCCTGCTGCACTCTGGAAGGGCAGGAAGGCCTGATGTCCAATTGCTCCCGTTCCACGCTGCACCCGGGGCTCCCGGGTCTGGCCTGCCCCTGCCCTCAGCTTGTGACCTGGGACAGCGCGAGACCAGTGAGCAGAGAGCCCCCCACCCACCCCAAGCCCCCCTTACCATCCATCGAGGAGCTGCTGGCAAGGCCTGCGGTCTCCCGTGTTTGAACATTGCCATTCTAGTACGTTCTGTGTTTGGACCAGAGCATGGTCCTGAACAGAACCACGAGCCTGCAGACCCCCATTTCTGAGGGGAAGGCGATGCAGATCCTGGCACAGGCAGATGAGATGAAACAAGACAGTGTGGGGGCAGGCAGGGTGCAGACCACGGGGAGCTGGGGGGATGGGCACCCAGTTTTCAGCTGGGACAGCAGGTGGCGGTCAGTCCCTCACAGGCAGCATATCCCAGGAGCTCCATGCTGGGAAGCCAGACGCCTCCAGGGCCTCCTCAGACCCTGGCCTCCCCAGGTACCCCGGGACCTCGGTCCTGGGACAGTTCCAGGCCTTGAGGCTCTCTCTTGCCACCACGTGGCCCTGGAGGTTTCCCGGCCTGCCATGGGAGTGCTGTCCACACCCCAGAGACCAGGCTCGACAGAGGCCGTGCGGAGGCGGGAGGCGGCGAGGGACTTGTGGCCAGCAATGACCTGTGTGACTGTTCCCGATCGGGCCTGCGTGTGCCAAGCTTTGGGGGACACATGCCAGCGGGGCATGAGGCCGGGATGGACTCTGGGTGGAATAACCGCCGTCGGAAACGTCCCTGACACCTGGCATCCAGAGCCCCAAGCCCTGCCTGGAGATGGGGGTGCTGAGACGAGCAGAGGCTTTGGGGGCCTGGGGGGTGACCAGCACCCCCCATAGAGAACTGCCCCCCTCCATGAATTCCTTCCTGAGAAGAGCGTGCTGCTGGCCGAAGTGTGCGGAGCTGGGGAACAAGCCCCTTGGCTTGCCCGTTGCTGAGCCTTCTCGGGGGAGGGGGCTGGGCCGGCCCCATTGTCATTCTTCTTCTGGGAAGAGATACACGCGGGGGGAGGAGGGGGGAGGATAGAGGAATAGATAAGCACCGACCCCTTACCCTTGGGTGCACAGAGACCCCAAGAGGCCCCAAGGAGACAGAAGGAAGGGCGCAGGTGTGGGGCTGAGGCGGACAGCGGGAGCAGCCCAGACTCGCAGCACGAGGAGATGTTCATGACACAGGGTAAGAGACCGAGGCCACGGGGAAGGCACTTGCCAGGCCAGACCCTGGCACCACACGACCCCAAGCACTGCCCAGGGCCACTCTGGAGAACAGAGCTAGAAATAAGCCCTGCCTGGTGTGGCTCCAATACTGCCCACCCCAGAGCAACGAGTGGTGTCCCCACAGCACGCAGGACGGCTGGCCACACACCTGTCTTTGCTGAGCCACTGCAGTGTGACCAGTCAGAGGAGTAAGCGGGGGGGGGGGGGTCCAGAGCCCCAAGGGGTCACCACCAGCCACCCTGAGTCCTTCCCCGCTGTCTCCCAGCTCCCGGCGGCCCATCCACTGTGACTTCCCAGCATTCGTTTTGTGTGAGAAAGTCTTAGAAGCTCCAAGGAAAGTCCCAAACCACTTCCCATTCTGGGGCAAGCAGAGCCTCGCAGGCTGCTTGGGTCTGGGGGAGGGGGGGTGCACACAGGACGGTGGGGGGGCGGGATCTGCTTGGCAGTGATCAAAGGACTGCTGCCCCCTCCAGACTGCCAGCCTGCCCTGGCGTGTTTGCCGCTCTGGCCAGGCTCCAGGGACACCCAAAGAAGCTGGTTGGTGGCCAAAGGCATCTCCGGAGAGGTGTGTGTATGTGTGTGTGTGTGTGTGTGCGCGACGAGCACCCCCCACCCCCACCCTGTGCCTGTCCCCTCCCCGGCCCTGCCTGCCCCCTGCCCACCGCCAGGACAGCTGGTGAGCTCAGCGCCCACGCTGCCTTTTCCCGGGTCTCTCTGACCGCTCCCCTCCCTGCTTTCCAGCCTCCAGGGAATTCCTGGGGCTTCCCACGGGGCTGGAGCCCAGAGTGAGTTTCGGGGCCACTGGCGATGGGGCTGGGCGGGCTGTGAGGCGGCTCTGTTAGAGGCTCCCGGCGTGGGAGGAGGCAGGAGAGGGTTTGCAAGCGGGATGCAGGGAGAAGGGGTGTGTGTGTGTGTGTGTGTGTGTGTGTGTGTGTGTGTGTGTGTGTGTGTGTGTGTGTAGAGGTGGGGCAGCTAACATGGGGGGCGTGTTCTTCCAGAGCCCCCACCTGCCCCTGGGCGCATCTGCTCAGCCCTCCCCTTCCATGCCCAGGTCGCGGCCACTGGGCTCTCCCAGGCGGAGGACTGGAACCCTCTGTGCCCCCCACAGCCGTCTGAGCACACCCGAGCCAGGGCTGAGCGCCGGCAACAGCGAAAACGCACAAGCCCTGCATGCAGGTGACCAGAGTTCAGTCCTGGCACCGCACGGTCCCCAGAGCACTGCAAGAGGGAGCAGAACCAGGGAGTACCCGACCCAGCAGCACTGGGCGGGGAAGGGGGGGGCATCTCCCCAGAACAAAAGGCCCCAGCGGGGATCTGAATGGGAGGCATGTCCCTGCGGTGTGGCTCCTGCCCCGCCCTCACCCAGACTTGTGTGTGGTGGGCGGGTCACCCTCAGGCCCTCAGAGCTTTTCTGGTTCAGCACCAGCAGGGTTTGGCTGCAAGGAAGAGGGTGGGGGAGGTTGGAGGGGCTCAGCTTACACCCCCACTGGGGTCCAGACTCCCGCTGCTGGCCTGGCCTGGGTCAGGCCCCGCCCAGGGGAGGGGCTCCGGGAGGCCCCGCCCACCGCCCGGCTAGCTGGCCTGTCTAGCTGGCCCCGCCAGTCCTCCCTGCAGACCAGACGGTCCAGAGGCAGAGAGAGCATGGGGGTAGGCTGGGGACCCAGGGGAGCAGGCCTTGTGTGAGAGCTCCCCCCACAGCCCTCAAGAACCTGTTCTAACTCATCCCCCGCTGGGCGCCTGCCAGGTAAGGGAGGGGCCTGGGGTTCTCTGAGCACCCTCTTGGTGGGGGCAGGGGGCGGTCTCTCCATCGTCCTGGGGGGCACCTAGCCGGCAGTGGAGGAATCCAGGGCTGGGGACGCAGAACCTCTGCAGAGGTGCTAGAGCAGGTGGGGGGCGGGGGTCTCTGTTCATCACCATTGCCCCATGATCCTGTCCTCATCACCGGGACGCCCAGGTGGGGGCTTCGCAGTGCCTGTGGGATGGATCCATCCCATCCTGTGAGTCCAGGGACATCTGTCCGTCCCACGGCGAGGCAGAGCGGCACCCCATTCCCCCCCCCCCCCCGTGACACGCAGGGCTGCGGGAGAGGCTCCAGTGGTGGGTCCCCCAGGACCCTCCCCAAGACACGGAGGGAAGAGAAGACAGAATGGGTGGGTGTCGGCTGGACGCGGCCTGCTCCCTTCTGTGGGAAGGGGGTCATGACCAGGGCAAGCCCGAACACGACGTTCAAGCTCTGTGTGCAGAGGGAGGAGGGGGTGCTGGTGAGAGCCCCCCTCCATGCGTGCCCATGCAGCCCTCAGGCCAGCAGGCGGCCCTCTCGGCCCCACTCCCCAGGGCGAACCTGCCCGGGAGCTGGCTCAGAACTGGGGGCCCAGCCCCCCCAAACCCCCTGACTCACCAGGGCTGCTCTGCCGCGTGGGGCGAGGCCACAGCTGCCTTCCCCCCTTAGACATGCGGGGCCCTGGGGATGCGCCCATGGCTCACAGCGTTCCTTCCCTTTGGTCCTGTTTGGGGGACATGCCTGACGGGGCTTGGGGCTTACTCCTGGGTAGGCGAGAATCAAAGCCGGGACCGCCCTGTGCCAAGCAAGGACCAGCGATCCTGCTGTCGTGGTAACTCTGTACATATGTCTGGTTTGCGTTTCTGCAAGGTCCATGTGAGTGTGTCTAAGGGTGCCACTTGCCCAACCAAACCCCAAGCCCCTGGACAGGCTCACAGAGTGGCCCGGCTCACAGAGGCTACCCGCCCCCCCCCCCCCCCCGTCAGCCTGCGGGATGTGCCTGACCCCCTCCCGGCCTGACTCTGCCGTGTCCAGCCCCGGGAAGGTGGGGGCAGGGCTACCCAGGGCTGGACACTGAGGCTAAGTCAGCACAGGACAGTCCCTGGGGCCATGACCTTTCCTGCTAACGTGGGGACCGTCCGTACCCCAAGGCCACTGCGAGCTGGGAGGGGTTGGTGGGAACGGCAGAGCCAGTCCCCACTGCTGGAAGGTGCTGGAAGCTTTAATCTCCAGTCTATGCAGCCCCCTGGCTCACCGGCACAGAAATGTTAGGGGGGAGGGCACAGGTGTGTGTCCACCCTGCAGAGTCAGGGCAGGGTGGGGCATGGACAGTCGGGGGGTCCAAGCTGGGTGCTGGGGAGTCCCTGGAGTCTATCACGTGCTCCCCGGGGCCGCGGGGGTGAGGGCGCAGGTCCTGCGGTGGCTGACCCTGCTGCAGTGGCCCCCCAGAAGCCCCCAGGGCGCCGTGGCCAGTCCTGGGGATGGCTGGGCCTGAGCTCCTCCCTGCCCTGCGGGCTGCGGTTCTAGGGAGGAGACGCCGGGGAGTACTGAGCACTGTTTGGGAGTCAGGTAGAAAGCAGGAAATTCAATCAGGAAGACGTGAGAGGCTCGAAGGCCGGTGGGGAGCGGAGGCTGGTGACACAGAGTCCTCCGTGCCCCCCAGCACAGAAGCACGCACGGAGCCCTGGGGCGGGAGGGGAACCGGGCCGTCTCAGCGTCTCTCTGACCCACAGGGCCTCGTGTTCAGGATGACGGCTGCCCTGCAGTGCTGGCTGCTGTGTCTGAGCCTCCTTGCGGCTGGGTGAGCTGGGGTGGGGCACCCAGGGAGGGGGGGACCAGCCCGCATCTGGCCTTACTGCAGGCCCGTGGCATCTGGGGTGTCCCTTGAAGGGCTCCCCAAGGATTGGGGTTCCTGGAGCAAGACCACGGGGCAGTAAGGTGGTGGAGGGCGGGGCACGAGGCGTGGGCACGGTGCCCCTGGGAGCGGGTTCAGGCAGCCCCGTGTGTGTGTGTGTGTGTGTGTGTGTGTGTGTGTGTGTGTGCATGCGTGTGTGGGTGTGTGTGTGTGGTTGCGGCTAGGGCTCCCTCCAGACCAGCCCGTCTCCGTTCCAGGATGTGCGCCCGGGGCGGCCACCTCGGGAGCGAGGTCGGCAGGCGGGACAAGCTCTCCCTGCCGGGCTTCGAGAACCTCACGGCGGGGTACAACAAGTTTCTCAGGCCCAACTTTGGCGGTAGGTCACCCTGTTCTGTGGGAGACCCCGGCCCCGGGCGAGCCAGGGGGCAGCGGTGGTGGGGGTGGGGGAGTGAGGAGGGCCCCCACTTACACACGCACTGAGGAAGCTCCGCCTCCCGGTGTGGGACAAGGACACGTCTAGGGTGGGGTCAGGGGTCCGACATCTGAGCTGTCTGGGGGGAACCCGCAGTCGGGGGGTGGGCGGGTTCTGATGCACACACAGGAGAGCAGTAGCTTCCAGCCCTGGGAGCCTGGGAGTGAGTCAGCACCCAAACCTCCCCCCACTACCCCCCAAGGCATTCCCGGGGACGGGGGCCCCCTGCTCTCCTGACAACCAGTTCCCCTTCCTGCGTTGTTCTCTGTCACCTTCCTGGGCCATGCTCCCCCAGTCTGCTCAGAGTACCTGCTTACGCCGACACCCCATGCCCTGGCCACATACTTCCAGACCCTTCCCCATTTGGAACTCCTCTCTCCGACTCCCACCCCTCCCGCCACACACCCCGCGGGAGGCCCATCCCCCCTCCCGTCTCAGAGCCAAGAGGTCCTCTTGAGGCCCCCCGGAACTCAGTGCCCAGAGACGATGCCTCTGCCAGGGCCCCGGGCTCAGGCAAGGCACCGGGGGCTGGAGCTGTGCAGTCTCCCAGGGTCGAGGGTAAGCATCCCCCCCCTCAGCCAGTGCATCGGGGACCCTCCACCTTGGGCAGGGCATGTGAGACCCAGGCCCCTGGGACAAGACAGGATGCCTCAGTGAAAATGAGGCAAAGGGGCTGGAGCAATAGCACAGCGGGTAGGGTGTTTGCCTTGCACACCGCTGACCCAGGTTCTATTCCCAGCATCCTATATGGTCCCCTGGAGCACTGCCAGGAGTAGTTCCTGAGTGCAGAGACAGGAGTGACCCCTGTGCAACACCGGGAGTGACTCAAAAATTAAATTAAAATAAATAAATTCTAAAAAAGAAAGAAAGAAAAAGAAAATGAGGTGAATCCAGGTCCTCTGGGGACTCCTCTGCTCCTAAAGGAACCAGCAGTGTGGGCCACCCTGTGGGCTTTGCTGCAATGCCTGCCCCCACCCTCCCACGCCAGCCAGACAGCGTGAGGCCGCCAGCAGCTCTTTCCTGGGTGGAAGCTGCCCTCTGCTGGCGCGGCTGGTCCCGACCACACACCAAAGAAAGCAAGACGTGGCCACGGAGGAGAAGGTGGGAGGCCTGGCGGGATCGCAGCACGGCCAGGAATGAGCCCCCATCCATCCCCATCCTCCCAGTAAAAGATGAGCCCCCTGAGGCCCGGCCTACAGCGACGGAGTGACCCCTGAAGAGCGGACGGGGGCTAAAGCTGTCTCCTCCCTGCCGCCAGCTGCCCTCCGGCCCAGGCCAGACCCCAACACACCCACAGCGCCCTCACCCGGCCTTGATGGAGGCACAGGGAGGCCAAGCCACTGGCTCAGGACACACAGCTTCCGAGACAGCTAGGCGCACTGGTCACCCCCACCGCCTTAGCACTTCCCGTGGGGCTGTGATGTTCTCCCCCCCTTTGCACACCAGAGAACTGCAGCTTTCTCAGGGTGTAAAGGCAGCCTTGGGGAGCCGAGATCGCCGGACATCAAGACCTTGGTGTCCACAGCTGATGGGCATGGCCAGAGGCTCACCAGACGGGAGCCCGCAGGCCTGCGGCGAGGCGGTCAGTGCTGAGGAGGGAGGGGTTTCCGGCCGGTAACGCATTAAGAGGCGCACAGGGGCTCACCATGGGGGTCTCCAACGGCACCTGGTGCGCTGACCCCACGGACCCCCAGGTCTCCAGCTTCCGGACAGTGAGTGGACAGGCAGAGCCTCCGGGTAAGATGCGGTGACCACGTGGATGGCCAGGGCATGGTCTCGTCCACAGGACGCTGAGCACGAGTCCCGTGGCTGCGTGCTGCCCGCCAGCCACGACCCCCTGGCCACTTTGTCTGAAGCCCCCTGGTTTCCTTTCCCCTCCCAGGGGAGGCCGTGAAGATCGCCCTGAACCTGGACATCGCGAGTATCTCCAGCATCTCAGAGAGCAACATGGTAAGCGCAGCCATGGCCACCCCGTCCCCGAGCACAGACCCGGGGTCCTCCTGGGGTGGGAGGGGGTGTGGGGGACCAACCCCAGGAAAATGGCGGGTGGGGGGGACGTACCTTCCCCTAAACCAGCCCTGCGGAGGGCCCAGGGAAAATGTAGAGATTCAGAGGTGGGGCCCGTGGACACCGGGAGTGGGGGGAGGGGAGGCAGGTCGACCAGAGCCCAAGTCATGCCACTGCGTCCCCGGTGTCAGAGACAAGCCCACCCATACTCTGGCCTTCCTGAGGGCCCCGGAGAAGGGGCCACATGCTTCTGTTTGACCCAAGGCCCCGGACCCAAGCCTCTGGGTCCCGGGGTCTCTGAGGGTCAGAGAGAGAGGGATGGTCCATCCAGCCCAGCCCCGCCGCCACCCCACTGGCTCTCCCTCTCGTGCCGCAGGACTACACGGCCACCATCTATCTCCGGCAGCGCTGGACAGACGAGCGGCTGGTGTTTGAGGGCAACCAGAGCTTCACGCTGGACGCGCGCCTGGTGGAGTTCCTGTGGGTGCCAGACACCTACATTGTGGAGTCCAAGACGTCCTTCCTGCACGACGTTACCGTGGGCAACAGGCTCATCCGCCTCTTCGCCAATGGCACCGTCCTGTACGCGCTCCGGTAAGGGCCGAGAGCCCCACTCCCGGGGCTGAGCGCCGGGCGGAGGGCACAGACAGACAGACAGACGGACAGACAGACAGATGAGAGAGCAAAGGCAGGCCCGCGTCTGGGGGATGCTCTGGAGACACCCAGTTACAAGAGGAACGAGTGAGCTACTCAGGGAGGAGGTTGGGGCGGGGGTCCTGCCTCCAGCGCTGGGGGGCGTCTCTTGGTGGTGTGGGCTGGTGATGGGCGCTGGCCTGCAGCCAGGGGCTCACCAGGGCCCGTCCCTGAGCCTGGCAGCTGCTCCCAGCTTGTGGTCAGACAGCGGGACAGGACAGGGGCCACCCAGGCAAAGCGTCGAGGACAGGCAGGGTCCAGGCAGGGGGGACACTTCTCCGGTCCCAGATGGGGTGGCCACTGCGAGACAGAGACCATGCAAGCCAGAAACTGGGTCTGGGTGCTGACCCGGCCCCTCCCGTGACCCACCTGGCCCAACTCCAGGCTCTATGAGTACCACCCCCTTCTCCGGGATGCCCCCAGCCCCTGTGTGTCCACTGAACGGCTGCCTGTGTCCATGTGCTGGCCCATACACTGCCATACGTAGGCAGGCCCCTGTGCCTTGCCAGGCTCCCCTCAGGCCCTGCGAACCTACCTCCTTTCAGGGAACCAAGTCCCCAGGCCGCTACTTCCCCCATATCGGTGGCCCCAGAGCCATGAGGGCGTGGGAGGAGGTGTTGCCCACCCCGGGGACTCTGTGGCTCACAGGTCAAGGGTCTGTGAACAAGTCCTGCTCTGTCCCACGCGCTGACCCTCAACTCGCCTCACAGCCTGAACCTCGGGCACTCGTCAGGGAAGGGGACACCGGCAGGGGTGAGAGAAGGGATAATGACGCCCGGGCACCTGGCCTGGGGTCTCCCCTTCCCAAAGGAGCCGGGGGCAGCCTCCAAGCAGGCCTGTCCTGTCCACTGCCCCAAGCAACCCGCCCCATGCCCACATGGAGGCGGGGCCTTGCCTGGGACAGCCTGCTCTGAGTCTAACTAAGCAAGCCCCCAGGTCTGGCCCAAAGGGGACGCGGGGACGGTGGGGACAGAAGGGTGGACGCGGCCTCAGCTCTAGTGCCCACCAAGACCGCGGAGGCGCCTCTTTGTAGCGCCTGCCCTCTACGGAGCCCCTGGCTTCCCGTGTTCCCTTGTCCCCCACTACTCAGGGGCCCCGCTGCTGTCACCGAGTCTCAGGGGCTGGCTGAGTGCAGCAGAATTCAGGGACTCTCTCAGGCAGGCTCCAGGCCACCCCTGCATTGCAGGACTTGGGTGCAGTGCTCCCGGCATGGCCGCTTTTTCTGGTTTCTCGTTTGGGCTCCCCTTAGAGCTCAGGGGACCCCTCTCCGTGCAGTCCAGTGGACTTGAGGGTACCCAGGACACCCGGTGGTGCTCAGGGGCCTCCAGGCCGTGCCCGGTACAGCTCCGGGGCCCGTATGGCGCCGTCCCATCTCCCCCACCCCTGCTGTGGCCCTTTAAAGCAGAGCAGTACCAGATCTGGGCATCTACCCCCTCCAAAATACAAGAGCCCCCAGTCGAAGACGCAGCCCGTGGTCCACTGCACACCCAGTACGACAGCCGGGATGAAACTGCCCCGACGCCCAGCTGCGGCTGTGCCCTGTCTGCACGACGGGACCTTTGCAGCCTTGAGACTCACCCGAGCGGGCGGGAGGTGGTCGTGCCAGGCACGGTCAGCTGGAAGGAGGGGGACGGGCACGGAACGAGCTCTTGTGCATAGCAGGGGTCTGAGGGAGGGGCCCCGGGGAGGGCCAGAACCATGAGTGAGAAGCAGCTAACGGTACTGGCGTGAACTTCCTCAAATGAAACACGAAGGCCAGGGAACTCTTCATGCCACTCGGCCTGACCCTCGCACCGACCCTTCCTCCCCTCCCCAGAATCACGACGACTGTGGCCTGCAACATGGACCTGTCCAAGTACCCCATGGACACGCAGACCTGCAAGCTGCAGCTGGAGAGCTGTGAGTACCCACCCCAGGCCCCAGGGGGCTTCCGGGCACGCAGCCGAGTGGTCCCTCACGGTGCCCACATGGGTGGCCTTCTCCTGTTCACTCTGCCGAGCCCGGACATGGCTCAGAGACAAGCCTGCGCCCAAGAGCTGCCTGCAAGCGTGGACAAGGCGGCCAAGCAAATAGGCCAAGGCACAGTGACCAGAGAGAACAATGAGGTAGGGTCAGCAGAGGCACTGGCCAGTGGTGACCATCCCTCGCAGAGTTTCCAGCTCCGAAAGCAAACATCCAGTTCTCTACCTAGCCAAGGCGCCAAGTGTCCAGAAATGCATGTAGATGTCACAGAGCAGGGCAGTTCCAGCAGTGCCCCAAGGCGGCACAGAGGCCAAGGCGCTCGCCGGGCCCGCAGCTGACCTGTCTGAGTCCCCAGCAATGCTGACCACTACTAGGTGTGATCCCTGAGCACCACTGAGGCTCAACCCTCCCCCAGCCCTGCAAATTAAAAAAAAAATACCACAATAATGCCAGGAAGTGAGTAACAAAGACTGGGCTCTTGCTCTGTGCTCACGTGTCCCGATCAAATCCCGGCACGGAGGCGTCCAGGCCCCCGCTCCTTAGTCCCCTCCTCCTTAGTCCCATGTACCCTCAAACCCTTTTTATTTTTTTTTTGCTTTTTGGGTCACACTTGACAATGCACAGGGGTTCCTCCTTGCTCATGCACTCAGGAATTACTCCTGGCAGTGCTCAGGGGACCATATGGGATGCTGGGAATCGAACCTGGGTCGGCCACATGCAAGGCAAATGTCCTACCCGCTGTGCTATCGCCCCAGCCCCGCCCTCAAACCCTTGGCTGGGGACTATTTGGTAGCCAGGGCACAGGGGCCCTCCCCAAGGTGTCATGTGAGAAAGCTTGTCCTGGGGTTGCCTGCCTGAGTCGTTCCCAGCAGGCCTGCCCCCTGGAGAGCTGGGCCTGGTGACAGGGGCCTTGGGAAGACCACCCCTGAGGCAGGAACTGGGAGGAGGAGAACCCTAGCGGGGCCGCCAGAGGCAGTGGCCCCATCCGAGCCATGTGACCGTTGCCAGGCAGGAAAGACCGGGCCAGGCAAATGAACCGAGCGCAGAACCCCCGTGAGGTGATGCAGGGGCCTTGGCTCCTCGACAGTGCTTCAGGGAACGAGTGATTGCTCTCCGGGCTGTGCTAAGCTCAGCCCCATGGGCCTGGTACTCCTGGAAACCGCAGGGCCCCAACTGCACGGCCCACTCCCCAGGGGAGCAAGAGCCACTTACAATGTTTATTGGTGGTTATTTTGGGTCCTGAAACCTCAGCAAGGTTTCGCTCTTCCCGCCCGCCACCGCTAGAAAAGAACGGGCACTGTCCGCAAGCTGCCGGGGCCAACGGTGTCTAGTGGCCAAAGCGGGGGCTTGGGGCCTGCGGGGACAGGCGGCAGGTCTGAGTTTAGTTGCCGGCACCTCGGGGGGGACCACAGGCTCCACCAGGAGGGGTCCCTGAGTGCAGAGCCAGGAGGACGCCCTGAGCGCTGCCGGGCGTGGCCCCCAGACCCAAGTACTAAGTCGGGGCTTTTATGACTCGACTTTGCACACGTGTGTGTTACTTCTGGGGGATGCTCTGCCCGTGTCGAGAGCTCCAGTATATTCCGGGCGCTTCCAAAGGTGACCATGTTCTCCAGGAACCTTCGGGAAGACTGTTCCCTCCCTCAGCTCCCCGGCCTGGCCTGAGCAGCGGGTGGCACCAGAGTCGGGCCTGATCTCAGGGGGACACGCTGGACTCTGTGTGTGAGAGCACAGGCCCACCCCGGGCCTCAGTTTCTTCCCAGTAAAGTGGGGAGAGGGATGCTGGCCCCGCAGTTCTGTGAGATGCGGTCATCAGCCACCCCAGAGGCAGACTTCCCGGCCAGCGGGCCACAGCGCCCAGCCGGCACCCAGCGGGCAGGCAGTGCCTGAGAGCCCCTCGTCCCTGTTCACAATCGCTCGCCACCCCCTGACCCTGGGGAACCCACTGCCTGCTCTGTCCCCCGGCCCTGCCGGACATTCCTTGGAAAGGGGATGCAAAGACACGGGCGGCAGACTCTTTCCCTGAGGGGTCTTTTCCCAAGCAGGACGTGTCCGTCAGTCCCCCGGTCCCCCTGGGTCGGGGCTTAACTCCCGGCCCTGCACCCAGGGAGGTCTGGGACACGGCACTTACATGCGTTGCGGGAGAGCCGGGAAGGGCCTGGTCCCAGCTTGGCGCCAGCGAGGGCAGAATGGGAGTGGGAGCGGGCGGGTGGCTGCTTTGGGTTTTGAGGGCGCGTAGACGGGAGTTAGCACAGATCCCGGGTGTATACACGTGAGTTCCACACAACATGGGGTGAGCACGGGGCAGGGTCTCAGCCGACAGCCCGAGGGGGACAGAGCATGGTTGAGGGTCTCAGCGGACAGCCCTAGGGGGGCAGAGCACGGGGCCGGGCCTCAGTGGACAGCCCAGGGTCTGCTGGACTGGCCGGAGCCTGCAATACCTGGGGAGGCGTGCCTTCGTGCTGGGACTCTCGGGGCGGGTTCCCAGGCCCCCACAGCTGTCCCACGGGGCAGGCGCAGTGCTGACCCGAGGGGCGCCCCCTGCAGGGGGCTACGACGGGAAGGACGTGGAGCTGAGCTGGCTGCGAGGCAACGACTCAGTGCGCGGACTGGAGGACCTGCGGCTGGCGCAGTACACGGTCCAGCAGTACTTCACGCTGGTCACCGCATCCCCGCAGGAGACAGGTGACGGGCGCACCCAGGGGGCCTCTTGCGCTTCTCCCTTGGGGACCCTCTTCGGGGGGGTGCACGCTGGTGGGGGCAGGGTTCAGCCTTGGTGCTTCCACCTGACCCGCGCCTAGGACCGGAACGGGCCCCCACAAGGCTGGCGGCCTCTGCAGGGACCGGCCGCTGTCCCAAGGCAGGCCGCGTCCCCCGCCGGCAGACACTCTCTCCCCTCCAGGCGTCTACACGCGCCTCGTCCTGCAGTTCGAGCTCCGCAGGAACGTCCTGTACTTCATACTGGAGACCTACGTCCCCTCCACGTTCCTGGTGGTGCTGTCCTGGATCTCCTTCTGGATCTCCCTGGACTCGGTCCCCGCGAGAACCTGCATTGGTACACGGCCACAAGGGCGGGGCGGGGGTGGTCTTCTAAGATAGGGGTTATGGGGGGAAGAGAGAGAGAGAGAGAGAGAGAGAGAGAGAGAGAGAGAGAGAGAGAGAGAGAGAGAGAGAGAGAGGCCGGCCACTTAGGATAGTGATTATTTATTTCCTGACTTACTTGTTCTGGCCATATACCTGGCGGTGCCCGGGGCCACCCCTGGCTCTCTGCTCAGGGGACCACAGGCCATGAACACTGAGCAAGAGCTGGGGACGCACAGGCAACACCCTCACCCCCCACCCTCTCTGCAACACTGGTTTTCGCTGGGTTGTTTTGTTTATTTTTTCATTGAAGGGGAAAATGCCAGGGATTGAGTTCATACATGCAAAAACGTCCACATTCCAGGGCCGGAGCGATAGCACAGTGGGGAGGGCGTTTGCCTTGCATGCGGCTGACCCGGGTTCAATCCCTGGTATCCCCTATGGTCCCCTGAGCACCGCCAGGAATAATTCCTGAGTGCAGAGCCAGCAGTAACCCCTGAGCATCACCAGTTGTGACCCAAAAAGAAAAAAGGTAAAGGTAAAGGTAAAGGTAAAGGCCCTCCCGTTGATCGTCGATTTGCTCGAGCGGGCCCAGTAACGTCTCCATTGGAGACTTTGTTGTTACTGTGTCTGGCATATCCAATACTCTCGGTAGCTTGCCGGGCTCTCCGAGAGGGGCGGAGGAATCGAACTCGGGTCGGCCATGTTGGCCGCTTGTAAGGCGAACGCCCTACCCGCTGTGCTATTGCATTCCACAGCTGATCTCTCCTCCAGGCCCCTATGAAGACTGAATTTGTTGTTTGGGGACCAGCCTGGCAGTGCTCAGGGCTGACTCCTGGCGCCACGCTCAGGCATCACTCCTGATGGGGCTGGGGGCCTTCGGGGGCTCTGGGGACTGGCCCGGCTAGTCGGTATCGAGGTGTGAACCCTGCCTGCTGTGCTACCTGCCCCGAGTGCGTTTTCAAGTTTCTGCTTTTGCACACAGTCCAAAAGCTTAGTCCAGCGGGCTGTGGGTACTCATGTTGTCCCTTCAAATCACTGCGGCCACCATGTTGGGGACTTAGGCCATACCCCCTCCCAACCCGGCTACTTCTGGGGGAATCAGCCCTGTCCCCGCCAGCGCAGCCTGCTCCTCTGACCCCACCCCCCCAGGCGTGACCACGGTGCTGTCCATGACCACACTGATGATCGGGTCCCGGGCCTCCCTGCCCAACACCAATTGCTTCATCAAGGCCATCGACGTGTACTTGGGCATCTGCTTCAGCTTCGTGTTCGGGGCCCTGCTGGAGTACGCCGTGGCCCACTACAGCTCGCTGCAGCAGATGGCAGCCAAAGAGCGGGTGAGAGCCGAAGACCTACCCGCACCCCCGGGGAGGGCGTTTGCCTTGCATGCAGCCGGCCCAGGTTCAATCCCCAGCATCCCGGAGGGTCCCTCAAGCACTGCCAGGAGTAATTCCTGCATGCAGAGCCAGGAGTAACCCCTGAGCATTGCCGGGTGTGAAACCAACACCCCCAAAAAAGCCAAAAATATCCCCAAACAGAATCCCCACCATGTAGGTCACTTAACTCTCCCTCCTGTCCTCCGCTGCTCCCACCCCCATTCTGGGGGAGGGGGGCAGCTTCACATCACGAGGCCGCTCCGTGAGGAGATCTCAAGAGATAGAATTTTCTAGCAGAAATAGTTGTTACTTGTCTGCCACGTAAAACCCCAACCATGAGGGCAAACCGCCATGAGGACACTGACATCAAACTAAACAGGACCGGGTCGCTGACACGCGTCAGGATAATTATGACTTTGCTCCTTGGTTCTCGCGGGGCGATCCTGCCTTCCCTGGGCGTGCGGTAGGCTGGCCGTGGACAGTGGGCACAGGAGGAGGGACAGAGCTTCCTGCTGAGACTCTGTCCAACTGAGCAAGGGGTGAGAGCAGGCAGGGCGCTTGGCTCGCACAGACAGGGCTGACACACACAGTGCCCTGAGCCCCACCACGAGTGAGTCCTGAGCAGAGAGCCAGGAGTCAGCCCCGAGCACCCCTGGGGTGGTCAAAGAAACCCAAACCAGGAATCGTTATTATCCATGGATACGCTCATGTCCCAGAGACGGATACAGACTCTTGGCAAATATTATGTCTTTCAAAATGCTCTATGAACCCAGGAAGGCTATCCCCACTTTACTTTTGGAATGGGCAAAGAGAAGCATATGCCTGGGGATGCCCCGGGGTTCCTCCTAGCTCTGCACTCAGGAATAACTCCTGGCGGTGCTCGGAGGACCATACAGGATGCCAAGAATAGCATCGGGGGGAGCCACAGTCAAGGCGGGTGCCCTCCCTGCTTTATCCTGGCCCCTCTGGCCCCTTCACTTAATTTTTTAACAGGTACCACCGCCAGTGTAAACCTCATTCATGCCTCTTTTTCAATTTATTTTTTCTTTTTGGGTCACACGCCGAGATGCACAGGGGTTCCTCCTGGCTCTGCACTCAGGAATTACTCCTGGTGGTGCTTGGGGGACCCTATGGGATGGATGCTGGGAATCGAGCCCGGGTCGGCCGCGTGCAAGGCAAACGCCCTCCCCGCTGTGCTATCATTCCAGCCCCTCGGTCATGCCTCTGTCCCTTCCCAGTCCCATCCATGGGTACTGCTGTGACTCACAGGTACAGAGAGGGAAAGGGAGTGATCCGGGAACATTTGAGCCCAGGCCCACCTGATCTTTCTCTGCTTCTCCCCCTTGCCATGGACAATCAGCTGTGCTCTTTTTTTAAAAAAAAATTTTTTTTTAAATATTTTAATTGAATAGCTGTGTGATAGCCCATTACAAAGCTGTCCATAATTGAGTTTCAGTCATACAATGATCCAGCACCCATCCCTCCACCAGTGCACATCTCCCACCACCAATGTCCCCCGTTTCCCTACCACCACCCCCCAACAACCCCCCACCCCCAGCCTCCCAGCTGTGCTCTGAACTCTCAGTCTCCCCCGAACCAATTCAGTCCTCTGCCCTTCGGAATTCCATGATCCCGTGGAACTCCGGGATTCTTTGGAAGTCCAGTACGATAGACATTTGCTTACCAAAGTGCAGGATAATGAGCAAAATGATAGAGAAGAGGGTGCCCGGCCCTCCCAGGGTCTAGTGGTGAGGAAACGAGAGACTGGAGCCATCCGGGGACCTACTGCCCTCTCCTCGTGTCCCCATGGACACAGTCTCACATGCTCACGCGGGCCAGGAACCAAGCACAATGGGCTCAGTCTACCTGCTAGGAAGATGAGTCACGTGCCTTCCTCTCACTAGAGTTAGCAAAGCCCTGGAACCAGCTGTGTGGTCCCTGGCTGGAGCTGTGCCTCCATGTGGGATGACCACACCCCCTGGTCACACTCAGGAGCCCTAACCTTGCAGTACCCGTGCCTCTGACTCTAAGCTTGCTGCCCTCCCCCGCGACATGGAGGCTTCCGGCACTCGGCCACCGCCCGCATATCTGGCCGGGTCTCTCAGGCTCACGGCGCTGTCTGTCTCCCAGGGGGCGGCCAAGGAGGAGGAGGAGGTACATATCAGCAACATCATCAGCAGCTCCATCTCCAGCCTCAAGCGCAAGATCAGCCTGGCCAGCATCGAGATCTCGGGGACCAACAGCGACTACCGCGATCTCACCATGAAGACCAGCGACAAGTTCAAGTTCGTCTTCCGGGACAAGGTGGGCAGGATCGCGGATTACTTCACCATTCAAAACCCCAGCAACGCCGACCGCTACTCCAAGCTGCTCTTCCCGCTGATGTTTATGCTGACCAATGTCTTCTACTGGGCCTACTACCTGCATTTCTGAGTGGGGCTCGCGTGGCGGCAGAACGGCGGCCCACGGCCCTGATGTCTCCCAGGCCTCGGCCATGCACGCGCCCGGGCTGATGGGCAGCTGGGCGTCGCTCCCCAGAGAAGGGACCTCCCACCACGAGCAAAGCTGCCAGGAAGCCTTCAGCATCGCGGCCTTCTCACAGAAAAATCAGCCCCTTCCTTTTTTCGACTTTACCAAAGATATGCCAGGAACCCCAAGAGCACAGACCAACCCACCTGGCCTGCCTTTCCCTGCAGTGAGAATTGAGGAGACCCCCGCCCCGACTGGCTGGCAGGGCTTCCCTCTGGAAGAATCCCGCATGCAAGCCTCCCCCTGGAGAGAGGGGATTCAGCCCACGGGGTGCCTGGGTGCTGCCACTGTGCAGGGTGCCTGTTTAGGGGACTGTGGCTGCCAGGCGGAAGGCGGGCTGGACTCTACTCACTGGCTGCCACTGCGCCAATGATGCCCAGAGAAGTTCCTGCTAGATTCTTTAACCATAGCAGGACTGTCCCCAAATTCTAGTCAGTGCATCCCCCTGGGAAATGAAATAGAGAAACGAGCAGATGAGTGATGCCAAACCCCAACCTCATCTTTCTCGGATGCAGAGGGCCCTCCAGGTGGGAAGGACCCTGGAACTGGGCCCTGCCCCTGATCAGGCCTATGGGCATGCCTCTTAGCAGATGCTGGGGCTTGTCCCCACGTGGGGGGGGAGTCAGGGAGCATCTTTAAAGGATCCCCATGTCACCAGTGCTGGCAGCCCCGAGTCCACCACTGGGCGCTGCCCCGAGCAGCAGATCCCGGCCTCTGCTGAGAAGAGCTTCTGTGGCCAGACCCTCCTGGCCAGGAGAGTAGCTTTCCACATGAGCAGCAGGACCGGCTGCAGTGAGGACTGCCGGGGAGCGGTCATTCCCCAGCCCCAGCCCCGGCCCCCACGTCCACCCAGATGCAGGAGACCCAGCGCACGCTCTCCCCAGGTATGTGTCACTCTCAGCCGTGGAGTGACCACCAGCAGCTAGAGTGACCACCAGCAATGCGCCCCAAAACTGGTCCCATTGGGTCTAGCATCAGGAACGCTCTGGACCCCTGTCCTGGTGACCGGAGCAGTCGGCCATGCCTATGGAAAGTCACGTCCCTTCTCTCTCGCCCCTCACTCTCGGTTCTCATTCTCCCTCCCATCATGTGGATGTGGTCAGCTGGGCTTTTAACGGACTGCTCCTAAGGGGGACGGCGGAATTAAAAGATCTTGGCTGTGGCCGGTGGGTCAGTCGGAGTTGTGATTTTATTTGTGATGACTCCCAAGGTGCCAGCCTGTTCTGCTTGCCCGTGGCCGGGGCCCCCACCCCTCACCCGTGGTCGATGTCCGGCGGAGACCCGCCCTTCTCAGTTCTCCAGTGGATTTTCAGCCTTCCCTCCCCACCTGAGAATCCCCCCTTCTTCGTGAGTGGGGGGTTTCCTTGTTTCCTTGTCCACCTTTCTGCTCATGGGATGCTGCCTTTTCTAGCCTCGCCGTGAGCTTCTCTGCTAATATTCGTAGCAGGGAGGAGCCCAGCCCGGGGTCCGGGTGACTGCGGGCAGGCTCAGTCATCAGGTGCCTATGGCAGGAGCGCCGGAAGCCTCGACCTCCCACCCACAGGGCACATACACAGGCATGGGTGCCCACACGGCACCCCGGACTGCTTCTTCCCTGGGGTGGGGGGTGGGGGGGGCACAATGCATCCACTTGGAAGGAGAGAGAGAAGCAAGAAATAGTCCAGGCAAAATCTACAGAAAAGAGCCAAGTCTTGGGGGAAGAGGGAGGCTAAGGAGGAGGTTTTGCGCCTTGGAAAGTGAGGCTGGCTGATGAAGGCGTCAGGATTTCAGAGTCTCCGTGAGGGTCTTACACTGACCAGGCTGCTCCAGCCTCAGTGCCACCCTGAGCAGACACAAACACTCTCACAGGAAGTCCGACTGTTGGAAGGAAGCAAATGCCAAGCCGAATAACAAAGTGCTCCGCTAAGGCTTCTAGTCCCTGTCTAGAAAGTTCCCATGGAAGCAAGCCTCTGCCCCTTTCATACAGGGGGCCCCGCTGACCCAAGCAGGGACATGCCCCTGACTGGGCGAATGAAAGCCCCACCCCTGAGTACCAGTCACGGAGAATATGGTGGCGCCCAGGGATGCTCCGAAATGGGGCAGCTGGGAGGCTCCCGGCTCTCACCACTCCGGCTCCTCTCGCAGACTCTGAGAGGAGCAGCAACTCCTTGGGGGTCGGGAAAGAGCAGGGGGGACCCGTGGGGGTCACTGCAGCTTGAAACCACCAGCTCAGCGTGAGGATGGAGCAGAAATGACGCCCACGATGGCCGGCTATGGGGAGAGGGGACAGTGACCAGTTAGGTTCCTGGCATCCCACCGTCCACCCTGAGCAACGCCAGGAACAGCCCAAGAGGCCGGTGGACACTGCTGAGTGTGGACACCCACAGGATGGCCTGGGCGCCCCTGGCAGGGTACTGGCACGCTGGCCCAGTCACTCAAGCATGTCCGGGAGCGGGCTTGGGCAGGGTCCCACAGGAAGCAGTAATAACCTGCACCGCAGACAGGAAGTGGCGCCTTTCAGGTCTTACAGACCCTTCTAAAGGTGCCCAGTGATAAATAGGGGTGAAGCAGGGGTTTGGGGGGCTAGTTATTCACTGCAACTCCCAGACTCTGTGTCACTTAATCTTACCAGTCACACCAATAAACTGCACACCTGCCCCGGGGACCCAGCAGGCTGGTGTGAGCAAAATAGAGTTTGGTGTGTGTGTGCGTGCGTGTGTGTGTGTGTGTGTGTGTGTGTGTATGTGTGTGTGTGGAGGGGGGAGCAAGGGGGGTGGCTGGCAGAGGGATGCCATGGAGCTGGCTCTCTAGAAGGTTAGCAGAGTGACCGCAGAGTCTCATTCCGAGCTCCCAGGGGGACAAAGGGAAAGGAACTCCGTCAGAAATATGAGGTCGCCCAGTCTGTGACCTCCAAGGGCACCTCCAGACTCTAATTCCTTTCTCATTTCTGGGGCCTCCTTCAGCCTGACCTGCCAGCTCATTTCCTGAGCCCGGCCCAGCGTCCTGCGGGGGCCTCTGGGCTCCCGAGTCCAGGCCTGGCCGGCGTTCCTCGCAGCAGGCCGGGGCTGGCTCTGGAGGGGGGAAACTTCCACAGACGTTCTCAGGGAAACGGTTTCCCTGGCCCCTCGCGTGCCAGAACACGGCGGGGCAGCCCCCGAGGAGGGCCTTCTCTTCAGGGGAGTCGGCAAAGTCGTCCCGGAGGGAGTCTGCTTTTCAATAACAAGTCACTGGACCGATTCACCAAAAGGCATCTTGAAGAACCAAAGAGCCCCTCACTCATAAATCAAACAGCGGCCGTGGAGGAAGACAAAGGAGAAGGAAGGGAGAGGTTGTCGGGGAAAGTGACAAGCACGAATGTCACCCACGGAAAGTCAGGCAGATGCCGTGGCCTTTAAAGCCACGGACGCCGGGATGTGATAATAAAGTGCATTTCCAGAGTGTAAAGAAGTCCCGGAAGAAATCGTTCAACTTAAAAGAATACGAGGTAGACCTTTGCTGGGAATGCACGTCTCTTAAAGCCTAACAAAAATATTCTCATGATTCTAAGATTTCACGGAGGAATTCAAAGGCAAATAGTCACCAGAGGAAAAAGAACTTTGTTGCGTCTACCCCGGCATAAATTTAACATCCCTTATTCTTATTTTTTCTCCATAAGGAATCCAGCTGCAAACCCTTTTTCACACAGAGCCCAGAGGACTGATCCAGTTTCACTTAGGGCAGGAGACGGGGGGGGGGGGGGGGGGGGGGGGGGGTGAGTGGAGGGCCGGGCCCGGGAATCAGCATATAGGCTCCCCATGCCCAAGTTTATTCATGTCACACTGGGCAAAAATACGTTGCCTTCCTCTGTGATAACGGTGAGATTTGAAATGGGAAAGTATTTTACATGTGTGTGAGAGAAGAGGGTCCCAGGTGGGTTTGCTACCCGATTACACACGTACCTCTCTTTTCCCCTAGAAACATCAGAAGTAGCTGCGGCTTCCTGAACGCCAGCCAGCTCTAAGGGGCAACGTGAACAAAAGAGGGTCAAAGATGGGAGAGAGAGACACAGAGAGATAGACAAGAGAGAGGGAGAGAAGAGAGAAAAGAGGAAAAAGGAGAGATGGGAGGCCGAGAGAGCAAGAGAGGGAGAGAGAGGAAGAGGAAGAAGGAGAGAGGGGAGGGAGAGGGAGGTAGGGAGAGAGAGAGGGAGGAGAAAGAGAGGAGAGGTGGGGGAGACAGAAGGGAGAGAGGTGGGGGGTGAGAGAGGGAGAGGGAGAGGAAGGGGGATGAAGGACCTCACGGAACCCGCTAGAAGAATGTCGGGCCCAGGACGTGACTGCCTGGCCTGGCTGTGTCCCCAGTGTCTCATCTCAAATGCACACTCATTCTGCCTTTGATCCTTTGCTTGTTGGTTTTGGGGCCATACCTGGGGGTCCGCCGGGGTTGCTCCTGGCTCTGTGCTCACAGATACCGGGCATGCAGCAACAGAACTCAGGACTCACGGGCAAAGCCTGTCTCCCCCAATCCAAGGGTGCCCCAATGGCACGGACCCTTCCACCAGCAACCCCTGCCTCCTGCTGAGCACTGCTACCCGCCCTGGTGCCCCCCAGCCCCAGACCCACAACCCTCAGGTCCCCAAACACATAAGCCCCACAGACGCAGGGCCAAGCAGGAGTCCCTGGGGGTCAGGGATGTGCCTTGCATGCCGCTGACCCTGGTTTGAGCCCCGGCACCTCAGACGATGGCCCTACCAGAAGGGATCCCTGAGCACAGAGCCAGGAGTAAGGCCTGAGCACTGCTGGACGTGGTCTCCAAAGCCAATCAAGCAACTAAGTAAAAATCCACAGACTCTAAGGGCTGTGTCCCGGGGGTGAAGCTGAGGACGCTGGGGCCGGGACTGGAGGGGGGCCTGGACTTGCTGTCACCTCGTCACCTCGGCGCTTGGCTGGCTGGAGGGCATGCAGGCCACCA